GAGCAATCACGAAGGACTGATTGACCCCAGTGCAAAGGCACTCCTCTCGAGCCGACGCACCCGAGCCGTGATCTCAACGGTACAAGCCACGAGCGAGCTGGTCCCCTCCGCCCGCACCACCTAAAGGTCATCTCAAACCACTCCGAGGGCGGTGGTCAGGATACCAAGCTCGTCACTCTCGGCCTAAAGATTCCTCCACACCTCGGTGAGGTCCATAGCTAGCCCTACAGAAACGCTCTTGGCCTACAACTTTTGGGTCATCGCGCTCTTAGTAGGCTTGGTCACGCTCTCGGAAAGCCTGGTCGTGCTCCTCGTGATCCGCGCCACGTTCCAAGCAGAGACTCTTCATGGTTTGGAGCAGTTCATCTCGCTCCTTGCGTATCCGAGTGACCACCATAGCCTTCAGGCTCACCCTCTTCTCTAGGGTCACGAGCTTCTCCTCGGCCCCCAGCTTCAGTTCCCTTTTCTTCTCAACCTCGGCCATAAGGTCAAGGATTCATCGGTGGGTCTCGGCATCCTTCTAGAGTAACTCATCCCGCTCCTTCCTGACCCTAGCAGCTTCCTTGTCATCCTTTTGTGACCTCACTGACAGGGCCTCAAATGCCTTCTCAGCCACGTCAGCATCCCAACAGGCCTCGGCCACCCGTGACCGAAGATTGTCTGCCTCCTCGATGAGGGGAGTCAGCTCGGCCACCCTCTACTAGACGGCGACAAGCTAAGCTGTTACCTCCCCGTGTAGCCACGCCTCCTCGATGAGGCGGTCCTAGGCCTCCTTCTGCTGACAAAGGAACTGAGATTTCCCCCTGCTGTGAGCTATGAGGGACTGCAAGAAGATGATGGTTAGGATACATAAAGCATATAAAGAAGGATAAGGGCAAAAAGCAGTACCAAACAATACTCGCCCGGAGGGAATGATGATGTCACGCAATGCGCCCGTGGCGTGGTTTAGGGCCTCGAGCATGGATGCGATCCCTACGTCGAGGCTCTCCCGCTCCATGCTCTCAGCGGTGGCATCAAGGGTGAAAAGCGTCAACGCCGGATCCTCTGGAGTCATCCACTAGAGCAAGGGCTCGCCCCATGCAGGCGAGCCGCTACCCACCGACGTTAGGGCCAGGGACGACTTTCTGCCGGCTCCAAGCGCCATCGATCCCTCTCATCGTGATGTCCCTGCTGAGGCCCCCCTCCGGCGATGGAAGGGGTCAGCGGTGCAGACGCCGACCCCTCTCCTAGCACCATGACTCCCGGGGACCCCTCGGACATGACCCCCTCCGTCTGGCCTACGCTAGGCGCCGTCACTTGTGCCGCCGATGGCACGGGTCGCTTTGGTGCCTCAGGCGCTGCTGCGGTTGCACCCGCCTATGACCCATCTGTCACAGCCGCCGCCACCTCCACCTATGTTGGCGGGGTCATGACTAGCTGTGTCATGCCCATCATGGTCGGTGCCACGAGCATGGTCGGTAGCCCCATCTCCCCGTCGTCGGCAGCGGTATCATGACCATCACCGGCTGCTCCGCGACCTCCGAAGGCGCCCCTTGAGCCCCCACGTCTATCAGTCCCGCTGAGGGCATGGGCGCCACCATAGGCAGCACCTGACCGGCTGGCGACGCAGCCACACTGGTGCCGCTCCCGCTCGAAATGGGTGCGACACCAGTCGACAGCTGCCACCTCAATTGGAGGGCGATGCTCTTCTTCGGCGCCAGCGCCAAAGGATTACGCTGCCACCAACGCTGCAAGGGATGAAAAGCATAGGTCATGATGAAATCCGACCAAAATAGAAAAAAAAAGAGGAACTGATAACTCACCTCAGCGCCATCGGGCGACAGATGCGTTTGGGGTTCAAACCCCCCGACCTTTGCTCCGCCTCGTCGGAACAAGGCCGTTTTGAGCCCGCCCCCTGCTCCTAGGTAGAGGGGCTTGCTCCCCTTGGCTCTTGGGGCATGACGGCGGAGCCACCCGCCTCCGCTGGCACCTCAGGTGCGATGGCAGAGCCACTCACCTCTGTTGGCTCCTGGGATAGGCCGACAGTATGGCCCACCTCCGCTGGCTACCTAGATGTACCCTCCCCTCCATGGATCAGGAAGGGTTCCAACGCCTACAAGGACAAACTAATACATGTTAGCACATCCTCGTTCTCTAGGTTGTCCCACTCAATGTCATCGGCTACCTCGTCATCGTCACAATCATCACCATCATCATCACTATCAGTGTCCTCCCCTTGTTCCTGCCCCTGTAGCTTCCACTGCTTCTTCCTTTTCTTGTCCTCCTTCGCCTTCCTCAGCAGCTCGCCCTCGGTGTGATTCACTATCCTCATGGCTGAATCCCTCGGCAACGGCGTTGGGTGATCCGTGAGGATGAGGTCCCTCGGCTGGTCCCGCCCCTCTCAAAGTTAGTATCAAGGGGTCGAGAAATCGATTGAAGAGAAGGCAAGAGAAAGGAAAACTTACGAAGACGACGTGGCCTGGCTCTGGCCGCATCGGAGGATGCCCCGGCACCGGGTAAATGAAATTGAGGGGGGCACCCGCATCGTTCCATAAAGGCTCCATCGCCTCCTTAATGCGTTGCGTGATCTCGAGTTGGGGAGCGTCCCCTTGGCGAGCGCCGTTCCGTCGAACAACATCTCGGCGCCATCGCATATAGCAAGAGCGCATGTGTCATCAACGGTGCCACCCTCCTTGCATGGTAGGCCCCTATGACGCCCAATTCCTTTAGGCCACTCTCCTTCAGGATATGGATGGCGGCGATGTGGTCTCGGATCTTCTTCGTGTCCTTCTCCGGGATGCCCCACTTCCTCCACGGCTCCGAGGCCTCTTCGATCAGGTGCCCGGTGAATTCTAGTAGAGGGGCAGTGGTGTCGTTCTTGAGGTAGAATCACTACGAGTGCCACCCCTTGTTCAACGTCGAGAGCCACATGGACGGGTACTCGCCGACCCGATTGTTCCGAAGTTGGATACCGGTGCACCCCATTGGCATATGCAGATCCTGCCTGCCGCTTTTCTCCCTCTTCTTCTAGAGGGTGATGGCAAAAAAGTACCTTCACAAGTCAAAGTGGGGGCTGATCCCCAGGAATCCCTCGCACCGAGCGACGAATACCGCCATGTGCTGGGTCTTGTTGGGATTGAGATGCTGCAGCTCGATCTTATAGTAGTGCAGCAACCCCTGAAGAAATCTGTGGGTGGGTCACGAACCCACGCTCGTGGAAGTGGGCGAACAATACCACATAGCCATCGGGCGGCGATGACAAGTCCTCACCGGGTAGCAGCCACTCCCGGCCGAGGTCCACGCGTGGAGAAGACCGTGATGGATAAGGCCCTCCATGCGCTAGAAGGTGATATCGGAATAGCACCACGGATCCATTGGAGGTGGGGGTGGATGGATGCGGGCTCAACGACGACGGAGATACGGAGGCAGGAAACCTAAGCGATTGGCAGCGGCGGTCGTGGCTATGGAGGCAAGGAGACAAAGTATGGAACCCGCGGGGCAAATCCTTTGGTTTTATAGGGGCGCCGGGTGCAAGGAAACCAACCGCCCGCCTTGATCTCCGCGCCTACCACGATCTGCCACCCCGTCTCGCCCGGGGTGCGCGCACGCAACCTCTATCCGCTCCCTCAAAAAACTCGCCGAACATTTCGCCTTTCTGAACGGACCACGACCCGTCGCAGGTAAAAGAGATATGGAGCTAAAAATACTACTACGGCCCGTCTAGGCCTAAGAGCTCGAAGGTTGGCCCACCAACAGGTTCGACAACCGCTTTGGGCACCTTTAGGGTAAGGGGTGAAAAGGATGGGCTGCTAGCGGCCAGTACCCAGGCGTACGAGCGTCGTGGGCAATCCGTGCTTTCTCTTGGTCTATAAAAGGAAAAGCAGGACGTCCCATGGAGGGGGACTGGCATCGGATCGATCTAGGCCAGATCCGATCGAACCATCACGAATCCATCGAACCTCGAACCGATCAGAACACAACACAAGCACACGACTGAGCAGCAACCGAGCTTTCGACACCCGTTCACTCTTTCCACCAGAGACCTGGAACATGTCCCTCTCTCGTCCGTTTGTAACCTCTTTACTATAAACTTTCGGTGCTAGTAACACAAGTAGCAACGATGAACTGGACGTAGGGACATTCTGTCCGAACAAATATAAACCTCGTATCCTCTAAATACATCATCCGAGCTAGATATGCGATACTTAAAAATTTAAGGTCCTGTTTGGTTTCCATAAGTCAGGTGATTGAAAACCAGTGACTTATAAGTCATGCTTATTTGGTTGTAGATAACTTATAAGCTCATTAAAGATATAAGCCCCACGCGAAAAAGGTGACTTATAAGTTTTAAGCAAGGGTGAACCAACTTAAAACTTATAAGCGGGATGATTTATAAATTGGTGGTGTTTAACAAAATAAATCATTTTTTTTACTTTTTAACTTATAAGTAGGTGACTTATTTAAAACCCAATTGACGATGGTAACTCAGAACCACCGACGCTGACTATTAGCTGTTAATGGCTCAAACATGTTCTAGAGAAGATGTCAAAACAGAACCGTCAAACGGAGGCGGACGGAAGCAGCACATGGAGAAAATCCCAGCGCCAGAGCCATCGGCGGCGGTACACGCCCGCCTGTTCCGGCAAAAATGTGCGAACGCACAATAAAAATCCCAGCTTTTCCTGCTCTTTTAATAATCTCCCACCGCCCCTCGGCGTCGGCGCCGGCCGCGAGCGAAACCAACGACGCCACCCAAACCGGCAAACCGCCTCCTCCCCTCCCTCCCGCGGGCCTTTCGCCGCTCGCCTGAGGCCTGACTCGTTCGCGTTCCCACTCCACGCCGACTTAACCGGGCGCGCCGTATCCGGTGGGCGGCAGCCTGCGCCTTTCGGGTCGCTCCGCGGGTCGCGTCCGCGCGCGCTGGGGGTGGAGGCTGGAGGGGAGGGTCCGGGCGCCTTTTCTCGCGTGTTCCGCCGAGGGTTGGGCTGAGGGAGGAGAGGAGAGGTCCACAGCGGCCGTCCATGGCGGAGAGGCGGCCAATCTACAGGGAGCCCGGCAAGCCCCGGCGGCCGCCGCGCTCTCAGGGTACGTTCCTCGATCGCTGCCCGTCCTGTTTACACAGTCTTAGCATGCGTTCTGGTTTGGACTGGGTTAGATTGGTTGCGCCCTTCCTCGGCTCCTGATTTTGTCGAGTGGTTTCTTCTGGATTTTCAGGGTTCACATGTAAATTGCGTCCGGGGTTGGGTAGCGAATCCGAAATCCTTCTCTTAGCCTGTTCGCTGTTTGGGTTGTGGGCTGATAAGCCCGGTTGATTTTTTTTTATGAGAGGAAAATGCTGTTGACGAGCTGATAAGCCCGAAACCAACAAGCGAGCGAGCAGCGACAGTCCGCGTACAATTGGCTGTCGTGTGACGGTGTCAGTATTTGATGCCGTTTCTGGTGATGCGTTCGTGTGGGTGGCACCTGCGGCTTGCTACCCTCTCTCTCTTGAAAATGACGTGCGAGGGTACCAACCGTCTTCAGGGAACTCACATCGAAACTCGAAAGAACCTAGTCATTCCATTTACGTGTGCCACCTGCACCGCCTTCAATCCAGAAAAACTAACCTGTATGTTTTTTCGCGTGGGAATGAAATATTTTCCTAATTCCATGGTAGTAATCTTGATCAGTTTATCCGCTTGATCATTACATGTTCTGTAAAGGAGAACCTATTCCATTTTAGCAAGAATGCTTATGACATACCCGTTCGCTTGTCTTAAAAATGGCTGGTTCGGCTTCTTTTTTCAGCCGGAACAGTGTTTTTCTCTCGCAACAATTTAGCCGGAACAGTGTTTTTCAGCTAGTTTCAGCCAAATTTCAGACCAACACACTTTACTAGCGATTTTGGAGACCATTTGGTGAATGATATTGAAAGGGCTTGGTGAGTATTTAAACCGGACAATGGTCAACGGTCATCTGTACACCTACACCCCCTGCCAAAGCTTTAGGAAATACTTTTAAATATTAAACAATAAACAATAATTTTCTTGCCTGACATTGAAATTCAGGAAAGGTGTTAAGTTTGATGTGTTATGATTTTTGTACACATCTATGTTAGTTATTATTCATGCTTAAATTCATGGAAGTTAACACTTCTGAGCCAAATTAATTGGTAAAAGTTTCTTAGCTTACTTTCATATCTATGACTGACCTAAGCTGAACCTGTACTCAGTTTTCCATATAACCCGTAATCCCTACTTGATACTTTACAATTAAGGACTACATAATTGTTGTGTTTTTTTTATCGTAAATTTGTCTTTTTCAATATTTTGCTAGCATTTAAACGAAGTATCCCTTGATTTTTCCTATTATGCAGACTAATTACTGCTAGCCCTTTCTCTGACAGCTACTTATTTTGTTCTTTATCTGCTGTTGCCCCATTCCTATTGTAGTGTTTCTTTTTATCAATCTTCTTGTTGTAGTGTTTCTTCTGAATTCTGATTGGTATTCATACAGAGAAAACCACCAGTATTGTGGTGATACAAGTCTAGGAGCAAACAGAGGTTCTTTTTCTCCGCATAGATTAGTTTTATTTACTCACTAAATACAGTTTATGTGTTATTTCAGGCAGTGGAAAATTTTCAGTTCCGTTGTGGGAAAAGAAATTTTGCACTGATGCTTGTGCTATCCCCTGGGCTAAACTGTGTGAGACCAAGAGATTGATGTCTCTGTACAAAAGTGTGGTTGATTGGGATGACTCAGCTGCATTAGAAGCCTTCAATGAGGCAAAGGCGCGCTTCTGTGCTGTATATCATGGTCAACATTATGATATCCCTTTGCCTGACCCAAGCATGTTTATCGATATAATCAACCCAGATGAATATGTTGATCCTGAATTGGTGTCTGATCTGGAGAAATCACGTCGTCGTGTTCCCAGAAAAGATAATGGTGTTCCTGATGTCTGGGACTCTTTTATTTTCTCTGACAAGCCAGTTCCAGTTACAGGATGGGGTGACACGGAGACCAGCTTCACTCATGGCCAGCAGCTCTCTGCAAACTGGGACAATCAGTTAAAACACTCAGTTGAAGCAAATAAGCTGATGTTGGCAAATTGGGATTATTCTGTCAAGCAACCTGCTCAAACAATTGATCAGCAAAACTCAGGGAACTGGGAAGTGTATGAGGAACAGCAGGATCAAACCAGCAGCTGGGGGGAGCAGACGAATCCTTGCATTACCAACTGGATCATGAGGGATGGCTCCCAAGGTGCTTGGAAGCATGATTACAGCTGGGCTCCTGCAGCTATTCAGACTGATCCATGGGACAACCATCAAGGTAGCTATGAGGTGCCTGACAGCCAGGGTGTGTCATATGGACACTGGACTCACTGGAGAAGGCGAAACAATGACTTGGGTAGAAGAAACACCAGGAATAGAGGAGGCCCCATCAGCTCAAAGCCAATGAAATCAAAGTACCAAACGGATGAACACAATGGTGCAAACAATGGTTGGAGGAACTGCCGAGTAAGGAATGATATGCATTATTACTCCTATGAGCAAGCTGATTATACCAAGCAGTCACTAGCTATGTGAGTAAGAAGCTAGGGGGCTATGTGAGTAAGAAGCTAAGGGACTTACGGCATTGAGAGAAGATGGCAAGTGTCCCTCTCTGCCGCCCACTACGCTTTGGAGGTGTCAGCAGTTTTACACCAACAATAGTAATGGTGGACATCTTCAGATGAGGTAGATTAGAGTTAGTAGATCATCTGTAGGTTATGTTCCCCCTACCAGTAGATCATCTGTTGGTTATGTTCCCCCTACCCCTAGTCCCCTTAAGCTGCTGTAAGTAGTACTAATTATCAGCCTAATGATTATTTTGTTTAGCCATTAGCGGCCGTTGTTTGTGTATATATCTGTCTCGATATCTGTAGTTTGCGGATGACCGCCCACTACGCTTAGTTTTGGTTTATTGGCTACTTGCAGCTTCAGTGTTGCAGCAGTGAGAATAAGGATGGTGCTACTTTAATTTACATCTTCTGTGGTTATAAGAACAAATGTTTTGACTCATTTGTATGCTGATGTCGAATGGCACGAGTAGAAGCTTATATCCTCTACATGGCTACATTGCTTTCTGGTATTGTGATTTTCTCCTTGTACCAATTTCCTGTGGCTCTGTGTTCTGAAGAAACGGCCATGTTCAACGCCTGCAGATTGTGTAGTTCAATTGAGAAGCTGCTAGTCGTATTTAAGTATATGAGATGCTGTGTCCCTTGGTTTGGCACATGCTATGCTTGCTTATAATGCCAACTACCAACCTTTTCCTATCGGTTTGAGTTTTTTTCTCGAACACCGATCGGTTTGAGTTGAATTAGTCGTTTGCAAGGTATCAGGAGAGCATTGTTTCGAGAGGCACGTGTAATGGTGTGTCTCTGTGAATACAAGTTGGACGAAGACATGTTTTATGTCATGTTTGTAGAGATTGACGACATTTACAACTTTGTAACTAACAAATTTGTTATTTGGAATTCGTGACAATCTATGGAATTGCTATCATTCAGATGCCAAATAAAAAACAGATGCAAGCTGGTCTTTTTTTTTTTGGAAAGTAAAGGCAGGAGCTTTGCCACTAAGAAAAAGTGGTTTATGTACAAGAGCACACATGGTGCCAAACACACCGGTCATAGGACCAAACACAAATAGCCACCGTTCACACATTTTGTTTTACCCCACAATACACATAGCCCTACGCCTTTGAACAATATCTTTCTTGGCCAATGAGGCAACTTGTGCTAACGTTTTGTGCTCATTTTCAAAAATCCTCTTGTTCCTTTCCTTCCACAGGTTCCACACGATGTAGATACTCCATTAAATGTTCTGCATTCTTGCTTTGGCACCTTGGTCGCCGCATCCTCCCACCAATCGGCGAGGCACTGGGGATCTTATTGGGGCAGCTGCACATCAAAATTTTCCCAGGATAACACCTGGCTCCGAACGGCTCTAGCAAAGGGACATAGCAGGGATAGATGCAGCCCTGTCTCCAAAGGTCCATTACATAAGACGCAGTGTTCTTGATGTGGCTACCCTCTCTTTTGCAGGTTGTCGGCCGTGAGGATTTTGTCATTTATTAGTATCCATGCATGCACTTTGCATTTATTTTCAGCCCTTGTTCTTCAAATGAGATCAGCGTGGAACTTGTGATGCAAACCACGGAACTGTATCCTGTACGCTAAACGCGTGGACTAGTTTCCGTCAGCCGTCCATCTCCAAACTATGGAGTCTTGCACTTCGGGCGTCAGCTGCACATCCTGGAGCCTGATCCAAAGGGCGACAACCGACAAATTCCTGTATCTGCACAGATGTTGTGATTCGTGTCCTGAGGGATCGGATCCGGCTACCATTTTGTAGCTCTTGGCGAACCGTCCTGTTCTTACGACGCACTAACTCGAAAAGGTGGGGCGCTAGGTATCTTGAAGCTTCACCCTCTAGCCAATTATGGTGCCAAAAACATGCCTTGTTACCATTCCCAATTGTTATCGTGGTTGAGGCGTTGAAGAGCAGTCGGTCTTGGTCATTGCTTGGCAGTTCCGTCCCCGTCCAAGGTTTTGAGTCATGCACCCACTCCTGCCACAACCAACGTAGGCGCAAGGCTGCTCCTAATCTTTCCAAATCTGGCACCCCCAACCCTCCCAATTCCTTTGGCCTACAGACTGTCGACCAATTTACCAGGCAATGTCCTCCATTAGTGTTCTCCTCCCCTTTCCAAAGAAAAGATCTTCTGAGTTTGTCAATTTTATTTCTTGCTCATACTGCCAGTGGGAATACAGTGAGGTGATAGGTAGGCAATGAGGATAGCACCGATGTGACCAAAGTAAGTCTGCCCGCTCTGTTGAGCAATCTACCTTTCCAGCCAGGTAGCCTCTGCCCAATGCGTTCGATGAGAGGTTGCACATGGATCTTTTGCAGGGATGTCGTGTGGAGCTACAATCCTAAGTAGCGGCACGGGAAGGATTCTCTTGTCCCTGCAAATGAGGCTAACACATGGTCTAGATCGATGTCCTGGCATCTGATCGGGTGGACCGAGCTCTTTTGTAGGTTTATGTATAAGCCTGAGACCCTGCCGAATTCCTGGAGGATCGTCGTGATGGAGTCCAAGTCATCCTTGATTGGGTTAGTGAATATAGCCGCATCATCAACATACATGGAGGTTCTCCACCTGGCCGTAGGTAGAGGAAGAGCAGTAAGAACGCCTTGCTATGTTGCCATGCCTAGTAAGCGTTGAAGGGGGTCCATACCGAGTATGAACAGCATGGGGGATAAAGGGTCACCCTGCCGAACCCATCTGCTATGGCTGAAAGCTTGACCCTGCTGTCCATTTAGCAGCGCTCTCGATGGTGTCGTGCGGAAAAGGATCGAAACCCACTCCCGCCAGCGTGGTCCGAAACCTAAGGCCTGCAATACCTCGGGGAGGTAGTTCCAGCTCACCGTGTCAAAAGCCTTTTGTACGTCAAGTTTGAGGAACAGTGCCGGCAGCTTCATCTTTTGCAATATCCGCACTGTGTTCTAAACATATAGAAAGTTGTCACATCTATGATTAACATACAGAGGATGGTTAATTAGCACTGGTTTGTATGTACGACAGGCTTTGTTGTTAACCGTGTTATTTGATTGCTAATAACGTGTTGCCCTTGCAACTTGATTAGCTCTATATAATTGTTTGCAGCCGGCCGTTGACTAATGGCTCTTACAGGGACGTGGTCCAGGTTCTCTAGTTGAATGCTCTGCAGGTTGTTAACTCAATGCATGAATCTGCAGCTTCGGTCCACTACAATTGTGATAATGAAATAAAATTCATCCACAGGGTCAGATAAACTAATATGGCATCACTAAGTAATACATATAGTAGAGCAGTAGTTGACAAGAATGCGTATAAACTAGACTCCCACACATTGGTTCTTCAGCACAAAGTTCTTGGCAGCTGCGAGACTGTTCTTCGTTGATGAAGAACTCGAACAGATGGATGCCCAACAAACTCTCCGTCGTCGGTCACCGTCCGCTGTAGCACGCGTCTGACGGCGGCAAAGTGTGCCTCTCGGGTCCCTAACGTCACCCTTCTAGCACAGAAGGTGCTTGTGTCCAAGTGGGAACCCACCGCCTCACAGCCGTCGGATAACCAGGTAGTGGTAGACTTCCAGCGGTCATTTCAGGGCCCGCTCGACTCCGCAAAAAGGGCCGCATTTCGCGCGCTTATGAAGTTCGACGTGGCGGGATTCGAGTGTATGTTCGAGGAGGCTTGCTAGTCTCGTTGGCACCTACCCAATTGGTTGCATAACTTTCATGTAATGTAATTTAAGTTAGGTTTATTAGGGTCCTGTTGGCTTCCATCCTTCCACGGTAATCTATGGATTACTTGGATTGTTGTAACCAGCCAAACTCGCTTCTGCTTAATGAAATACATGTCACAAGGACATGCTCGGAAAAAAAAAATGAATCCAGGAGAAGGAGAAACAAGCTATGCTCGTAACTCCACATTTCAGGTGCGTCTTAGTCGACAGAACTTGTTTGTTAATACAAAATCTTAAGGTTAGAGGTTAATACCAAATCTTAAGGTTAGAGGTCAATTAATATGGCATCACTAAGTAGAACTGGGTAAGATATTCTTCAACTTGATCGATTTCTTAAGGTTAGAGGTTAATTAGCTAATCTAGGTTCTCCCTTTTAAAAATCAGCGTTATTTCGAATTCCCTGGTTGATAACAAACAGTTTAACTCCGACCTGTTCGTAAACTGATTTAGACAGAACAAGCCATTAACTTGCTGATTTTGATAAGCAAAAGATGGAACAGAAAAACTTGACCAAGGTAACAACTCGTGTGCACACAGAGTGCAGAGCAGATGAGATTGAAGCCACAGATAGAAGAGCCCATCATGAAACTGTGTGGCAACTCCACACCCCTTCCCAGAAGCATGGTGATCGCGGACCTTGGCTGCTCTTGTGGCCCCAGCGCACTCACCTTGGTCTCTGCTGCTGTCGATGCCATTCATCGCCAGTGTCTTGAACTCCAACAGCCACCGCCTGAGCTGAGTCTGCTCCTCAACGATCTTCCCAGCAATGATTTCAACACTACAGTCAAGCACTTGGTAGCGTTCCAAGAAAGGAAAAACATTGACAAGGGTGAGCACGGTTTCTCACCATTTGTCATGACTAGTATTGTGCCTGGGTCCTTCTATGGAAGACTGTTCACTACTGGATCGGTGCATCTTGTCCTCTCATCAAATAGCTTGCACTGGCTTTCAAAGGTAGTATCCACATATTCTCTGTTCCGTTACGGTAGTATCAACTACTTTTATTTAAGCTTAATGTTTAAGATGCGGTAACTGGTAGGTACCTGAAGACCTACTGAAGAATGACATTCCGATGTACCATAGCGACGAGCAACTATGGCGGAAAACACGGCCCGTTGTGCTTGATGCTTATGCCCGGCAATTTAGAAAGGACCTTCTTTTGTTCTTGGAGTGCAGGGCGTAGGAGATGGTTCCTGGAGGAAGGTTGATTGTTTCCTTGACTGGAACACAATCTCCGGCTTCTGCCAGCGATGGATCAGCTCAACAAATATGGGAGTTCATAGCCAGTATTTTAGACGACATGGCATCAAGGGTATGAATTTGCTGGTTTATATATCCTATAAAGGATTTTTGGACCTCGCTACAGCAAATTCAACTCAATGTTTCATTATTCCTGAGTTTCTTGCTGCAGGGTGTGCTTGATAAGCAAAAATCGAAGGCTTTCTACATACCATTATATTCGCCGTCTGAGAAAGAAGTAAAGGAGATAATAGAAGAGCAGGGATCTTTCTCCATTAATGAACTTCAAGTGCATGACAGTATAGCTGGTGTGAACAAAGCAGTGATCAGCCCCAAGAAGTTCAACAGTCAAGCTCTCTTACAAAATGAACTTACCAAGAATCCTAGGGTTTTCCTTGCTCTTTCTCTTGAAAGGCAGAGTTGATGACTAATTCAACAGTTTTCCATTTGTGTTGATTTCAAGATTTACTTATCTGGCTTCAAAAATTGAGGGGGTTATTATATATTTATTTCTGTTGTTTTCACATGTTAATAATAATAACTTCATTATACAAACAGGCTTTCAGTAAAAAATTGTGCGTTGTCGTGGCACAGAGAATTATGCCAATTTTTTACTACTAGCTTAAAGTTTTGGGTTAAACTGTTCATGGAACTAAGATACGCTTTGTTTGCAATGCCAAAGCTGTGCACTCGTTTGTCTTTATGATGTTATTATCTTATACAGCATGCAAAAAACGTTAAATATGACAGTAAAAAAACGTTAAATATGAACACGGGAAAAACCCTTGTGAAACTTCACAAACATGATAGGGAAGCGGTGTAATCTGTGTGCCCAGCGGTTACACAATAATTTTAATAGCAACTCCATGTGGAGCATAATGCAGCAGAGGATGTCGGAAAACAGGGATATGTCGAGGTCGTAGTTTTTTTTCCTTTTTTGGTCGTGTGTTCTCTTCTTTGTTGAAGTGTGAGCTAAGTGCTCTTGTATCATTTTAGCTATGTATACCCTCCGTGGGTATAGAGGCCATACTAATGAATCCATTATATTATATCTAAAAAAATGTGGACTAAGAGTAACGCCATGTGGAGCAAAATGCAGAGTTATCAGTTATGTGGACTAAGCTGACCCTTTGTCTGGTGGTCATGAATACGGGTAAATGCAAGTAGACATATATGCATAGGAGAACAAATATAGTAGAACAAAGATAGTTCCTTCACAAAACACTCTAAATTCAAGATGCCAAATTGGGAATGTAAAACAGTGAAGTTATTCGGTGGGATGTATTCACGAGGTATAAGAACATCAGCTAATTGATCTAGGCTATATTTTAACTTCACGAACACAACGTGAATGGGCGATCCACTACCTCCACAGACCACAAGAGACCACGCGAAGTACCACCACCTGAGTTTGAATAGTTTTCAGCCTACATAAAATCTTTCTACAAAGTCTTTTTATTTAGGACGATGCTTAAACTTCATGCTTCAGTTGTCAAGTAGCTGAGAGATGCATCGGTGCCTACAACTTCAGCACAAGGCCAATTGGACTGTGATCGCTGAGCGATACATCTGGCAGAGTGTAGGAATCATGGACCTTGTCGGCAATAGACTCTGACGCAAGAAAGTAATCCAGTCTCCAGCCTGTTAATATTTAGATCAAAAGGTGAAAACAGATCATTATATATTTCCAGCAAAGAACAAAAAAGCCTAAGTAAAGAGGAGATAGTTCTATTGCTACTACTAGTAGCCTGTTCAAAATAATAATAATTACGATTGATAGTGTCACCCAAAATAATGAGGCCAGGGGACTGCTCCGTCGTTGTAATTTAGTTGAAATGCAAAGACAACCAAATTTGAGAAATTAAGTCGCTGGATAATCACCCCAACACACTACACGATACCTTTGTTGGTAATGCGCTGGTTTTCACCCCAGAAAGTGTAGGCCACAGCATTCGGGTGTTGTTTACGGAATGTATCAATAAGGCCTTTGCTAGTGAAGTTCTCCTCAAATGACTCCCTCTCTTCAATTGTGAAACCTGCAGCCTCGGTTTTTGCCTGAAAAAACAGATTTGAAATGAGTTATCCACCTAAAGGCTGTGGCAAGGGACTGGTACAACAAGAAAGAAAACTGGGAAGTAAATGGGAACTCAAATAGACTGTTTTATGCACAGATATTATCCTAGAGCAAACAGGAGACTTCCTTGTTTAACTTTTAGCAACAGTGTATATTCAATATCAAGCTATGGAGAACTGACAAGTTCAAGGCTATGTTTTGATGTCAGGTTCTGGATATGCCTGTTTTGTAGTATATCTTTTAGAGTTTTCTGTTATGTGTTTATTCTTTTGTCTTTGCTGAAAAAGATTATAAGCTTTGTGTACCTATGATTCTATGAAACATGGTACTGGCATGCTCATGGACAGATCTCAAAGTATTTCCTAGCACCGATATAAAAATAGTATTTCCTAGCACATTAGAAAAGTTATACTGTAACCCTGACAAGGGAAGATGCCAATAAACACAATTTGTATTTCTGCCGGGCCGGAGAAGGCTGCTTGTAACATAAACTTCTGCTTCCTTCTTAATACAAATGATACACAATGCTCTTGCGTATTCGAGAAAAAAGTTTCTCCGAAATTTTCTCAGAATGAGGAATCATACATGTCAGAGGACAAAAAAAAATTAAGAGAACAATGCTCACAAGTCACAAGGATTTGAAAGGCAATTATGTTTCATATCTAATATTGTTCTTTTAGTAGATAGCAATATTTAGACAAGACACACTAGAACATCCTAAACAAAAACTTGCTTCTAACTACAGCATGGTATACCTGCCTATCATGTTCTCTAGAGGATATAACAGCTCTTAAGTGAAAGTATGTACTAAAAAACAGGAGGCATATCTCCTCAGAAAGGGGAAAAAAACATCTGCAATTCCCCTTAATTTTTTTTGTGACTTCCCTTAAAAAAATGGCACCTATAACAATGTACATATATTATATAGATCCCCAAAAAAGTTCCACTGGTCTTTTATGGTATTCTGTCATTGAGAACCATGAAAAGAGAACAGTAGCATGTGCAAACGTTTGGACAATGTTTCTAAGGAAAGGGTGAGCAAATACACTTACTTGAGGATTGTGAATGTCAATACTTTCGCGAGCACAGTTTAGATCCCCAGCAACAATTACTGGTTTGGAACATTCCAGTTTCTGCAGACCAAAAGCTCATCTCAGTTGCACTTTGCAAAGTTATATCTCAAGGGACAAATTGAGAAGTTGGAGTACAAGCCATGGTGTAGAACAACACAGAATAAGAATAAAAAGCACAGTACAGCTCCTCAATTGACATAAAAAATAACAATGGGTCATACTAAATAAGGACATTGGAAAGCTAAGTGGATGCACCTTTATGAAGTCGCTAAAGCATGGATCCCAATCATTGACCCTGTAATTCTGAAGACCAAGAGGCAACAAAACAAAATTAGATATGCTAAGCAATTGCAGCGCAACATAAATGAACACTAACAATATAAAGGAATAATAGATTTTACCAGTCTACGTAAACCACGGCCAGAATTTGGGATATAGGCATTGACCAAGTAAAAATCATCAAACTCCAAGGTAATAAGCCTGCCTTCCTGATCATGCTCTGGTATGCCAAGCCCGTATTTGACTGAGATTGGTTGTACCTGTTAATGCATAGGGAAGAACACGGAAAGTGAGGTTAGATATACTATGTATCAACTGAAGGTATTCGGATCAAAAGATTTATTGCATTGCTGCTTCCCACTGACTTTTTAGTCAGTACAAAAGGGAGGTGCTGCGCATTAACCACAGCAAGAAGAGAACATACCCGTGATATCACAGCAGTTCCTGAATAACCAAGCCTTGCAACACTGCATGACCAATAGGTGTAATCATATTCAGGTACCAGGTTCTTAAAAAGGTCAACATTGCGCTCCTGAAAAGAGAATGAAAACCCCATTGGATATATTGGATTATGGAGGAACCCCATGTATTTAAATCAAAGCAACCCACTGCCCAGGATGAAGCTGTACATAAGAGGGAGTAGTGATGGAAACACCAAAACAACTTACCTCCAAGTGTGTCTCTTGAAGGCATAAGACGTCAAAGTTCTCTCTGCCAACCAATTCATCTGCAGAAAACCCTGACTGTACCATAGTTTGCAGTCCATTAACGTTCCAGGACAGAATCTTCATAGAATTGGTATCAGTGCTAAGTGGCGGAGGCCTCATTGTCCTTGGATTATAAGCAACCCATTGTGGTCGTCTCTCTTGGTGGGTAAGGCGAGTCCAGGGCTCAGACTTCCGGGCAGAGTAACCACGCTGAGAAGATGTGGAGCTCATGTTCGCCCCAGACCTCTGGGCTGGGTAACCACCACGCTGAGAAGATGTGGTGCTCATGTTCGCCGCAGACCCCCTCCGGGCAGGGTAACCACGCTGAGAAGATGTGGAGCTCATGTTCGCCGCAATGCGCTTGATTCCAGGAACCAGGTAGACACGACTGCAGAAACAGGAGTTCAGGACCTTGGAATTAACAAGGCACACAGATAAAAACAAGAATGTAGGTGACAGTTGATCCGGAAACATTGTAAATCTGACATCAAGCGATTCAATCTAAGCAGAAGAATCCCGAAGCAAAAGGCAAACTTCATATACAGAACAAAGGTGTGCATCTGCTACCCAGTACTCAATCCCCATTGACCAAATACAACCCCATAGTGGTGAGGCCGCGGGCAAAGGCGGCGGCGCTGCCCAGACGTTGCAGACAGGGCAGCGCGGCGAGATGGCTGCCACGGAACATGCGCAGGCCTGCGGCGTGCATGCAAACGACTTTTGATCCACCTCGAAATTTGACTTTAGTCCCGATATTTTTTGTGCCCGGCAGAAAAAACAAATGGGTAGCTCGCGGAAAGTCCTACCAACGGCTCCATGCGCAGCCTTTTGTTGTAGGGGACCTTTAGTCCCGGTTGGTAGCTTCAACCGACTAAATGTTAACTTTACTCCCGACGGTCCTCCAACCGGGTCTACTCCCGATTAGGCTCCGCTCGAGATTAGAAATGAACCTTTAGTCCCGCTGTCGCGCGGGTCTCCAACCCAATACGGGAGCGACGCGTTTTGTTCAACCGGACTAGTACGTAGAGTAGCGCTACATAGTACGTGCATCGATAGCTAGGCGATCCCGCTAGTACGTAGGAACTAGCTAGTACATTTTGTTCACCGGGATTGACATGTCCGAGACTAGTACGTAGCACACCGTCGCATGTCGGACGTGTCTCTCTCTAGCTAGCTAGCTGCTACGGGAAATCAATTAGTCCCGGTATTACAAGTCGGGACTAAAGATATATTTTAGTCCCGGCATTACCGACTAAAGGTCTTTAGTCCCGGATGGTATTATCACCGGACTAAAGGTCTTTAGTCCCGGTGTTTATAGGAGCTTCGATGGGCGGCCCAATCGCGCAATATACCGGAATTGCTTTGCTAGTCCCACCTATTAGCACCACCTCGCTTGTTCGTAAAAAAGTAAAAGCTAACTTAAAAGCTCGACTCTCGAACCATGCAAAGACGAACTTGAACAGATCTGCTCTAAGGGATTGTACCGATCCTTGACTAAAGGTCCTTCGTACTATAGTTTATACAAAATGTTGAACATTATAAACGTCACGTATATTCTAGCAAATAGAAATGCGATTCAAAAACCAAAGCGAATCATCAATTAAAAATAGAAAAAAAAAAAAAAATAGAAATAGAAACAAAAAAAAAAGAAAACCTTTAGTTCGGTTGGCAGTGAAAATAGAAAAAAAGGAAAATAGAAATAGAAACAAAAAAAAACACAGTAGCAAATGAAAATAGAAATAGAAACAAAAAAAAAAAAAAAAACCTTTAGTCCCGGTTGGTATTATCAACCGGACTAAAGGGTTAAGCCCCGTTGGTATTACCAACCGGACTAAAGGTCCACCTTTAGTCCCGGCAATAAACCGGGACTAAAGAGGGCCCTTAGTCCCGAATTGTGCTCTCGGTTCCAAAACCGGGACTAAAGGGGTCTTAACCGGGAGTAAAAGTAGTTTCTCTCTTGGTGTGGCCATGGTCATGGTTATGAACACAGCCGAGTCCTACATGGGCGCGTCTCATGAGAGAGTCCTTGGCCTACAAGTAGGTCGCGAAGGAAGTGGGAGTGGCGGGCGGCGAGCAAAGTGGCATCCCGGCTGGAGGGAGAGGAAGGCACGGGCACGGCCGCACGGGAGGCAGGGTGACCGGGGACGGGCGAGGCAAGTAGCACAGCCGATCGGGCTCTATATATAGGTAGGGGGAATTCCACATGTGCCGTTAAAAAAAAATCCCAATGGTCTGTGTTATCTTAGAAAAATTTAGCGGTTTTCAGTATCACTGCTCCAATTTTTTTATGCCCTAGCGTCAGTTTAGGCTCTAACACCGTCAAACTGCAGGTGTGAAAAGTCAAAAATACCCTTAAGTCTAAATATGTCATTAATTTTTTTTTGAATATCTTAACAACTCCAAATGAAAAAACTCAAAAATAGAAAGTTGTAGATCTCATCGAGATCTATAATTTTCATATAAAAATTATTTTCATTTAATTTCGTAAAAAAATATGATTTGATATGATTAATATATCTTAAAAAATCATATCTTTTTTTACGAAATTAAATAAAAATAATTTTTATATGAAAATTATAGATCTCGATGAGATCTACAACTTTCTAGTTTTGAGTTTTTTTTCATTTGAAGTCGCTAAGATGCTCAAAAAAAAATTAATGACATATTTAGACTTAAGGTATTTTCGACTTTTTACACCTGCAGTTTGACGGTGTTAGAGCCCAGACTGATGGCAGTGGCATGGAGGGCACAAAAAAGTTGGAGCAGTGGCGCTGAAGACCGCTGAATTTTTTCAGAGGCACACATGGCATTGCGATCTTTTTTAATGACACACAAGAAATTCCTCCATATAAGTACCAGGCTGATCTAGGTTGAGCTAATTTCAGCTTATTCTCTCTCACAGAATACTATTGAATAAACCGAAATCAGCCAAAACTGTATCAGCCGAACAGGGCCAAAATCCATAGCCATCGTTTCCCATCTCGAATTCACAGAACTTGGGAAGGAAGCAAGCGTTCTCATAGAGATTAGAGAGAGAGAGAGAGAGACGCACAGGAGGAGATTGGTACCCGTCTTGCCGATGATGCCGTCGAGCAGGTGATTTCTTTCTGGTTTTGCAAAACCCGCAGGGCTTAACGCCTTCTTAACCTATGGGGGATCTTGGCGAAAGTGGCTCGCGGATATGTGTAGGTCTCGGTCTCGGCGCGTCTCTTTCGCCGGAGGCCCGGAACCGACTCAAGTTTGTTTGTGTCCCCCCACCCCCCAAAAAAAACAAATCTGTTAAGAGCCGAGAGGGGCCTGCCTTGCTGGGTACTCTCTGAGATCTGTTCAACAAGAAGTACACGCCTCAATGCCATGTCGGTTAGCGGCATCCTCTGATTTGTCTCTGCTTGGTGGACCCGTGTCAAAAAAGTGCTGCTTAATAATTTCTTATATATGACAAAAAAAAAGACCTGCATTTTGATGTTCAGGTAAACGTTCACGATTTTGCAGTGTCCCTGAGCTTATATGCACAACATAATTCATTAATTGTGACGCTGAGCTAGTTTTACCAAGCACATGCCACAAGTAGTCAAAATGTTCGCTTGCTCGTATACGATCGTGGATTATAAGTTGGAACAATACTTTTCTCTCACACCAAACCAGCCAGCAATAAATAATCCACAATCGTTTACGGCCTGCCGAACAGGCTGAGTATTTCTTTCAAGTCCTAGGTTACGTCCTAGAACCGCTAGCCCACGGATGTTCAATCTGAGCTGCGCCTGCTTCGTGTGGGGGCCCACGTCGCTCCGTTTCCTGCGCATGTGTGCCCACACGGGTCGCGTCTCGATCTGTGCCCGCTCTCGTTTCCCATGCACTGCCACTCGTGCCCCTCCGCTTCCACACGCATGCACGCGGGCCAAGCAGTCACAAGTAGGTGGCTGTGGCGGGTGGGTCCCACTACAATATTCAAACACCAGATCTACTTTTGCAACATTTAAATGAAACATTTGCAGCATACGTCTAAAACAGATGAAATATTTGAGACATAAAGTTGAAAGACTATTGCAACATGTGCAACATCCCGATCTACTTTTGAAACATTCAGATGTAACACTTGCAATGCAACTTACAAAAGAAGACAGATGAAACATCTGAGACATGCGTCTGAAACACTTGCAACATACGTGTAAAAAAACAGATGAAACATTGGAGATAGAAACTTATAACATACGTGTACAACCACTGCAACATATGCAACATCCCGATCTATTTTTTAACATCCGCATGAAACAATTGAAACATACATCTAAATCAACTAAAGCACTTGAAACATAACCTTGCAACATGTCTGAAAAAACATCCAGAAACACTTGAAACACAACATCGCGCCATACGGCCGTGACCTACCTGGTGGGGAACTGTGGTGGCGTAGGCCTCCCCTTCCTGCTGAGAGCGCGAGGAGGATGGGGGCCCAGGCGCAGGCCTCCCCGGCTTCCCCTTCCGCGACGGGCGAGGTGGATCAGCGCGGCGCTGGATGGTGGCGCTCCCGATCTCTGGCGTGAGCTGTCGCCGCTCCGGTGAAGAAGGCCGTGGCGGGTCCGGTGCAAGCTATCGCCGCTCCGGTGGAGAAGGCCATGGTGGGTCTAGCACGAGCTATCGCTGCTCCGATGGAGAAGGCGGCCAACGAGCTGGAGAAGGCCGTGGCAGGCCAGAGGCGCGAGGGAGAAGGGGGAAGGCGGGCAGCCGATAGGCGCAATCTAGAGAGGGATCAAGGCGGATGTCCGCGCTCGGGCATGGTGGAGATGCTAGCCGTCGGGCCCCCAGCTACTGTGGGGAACGCTGAGGCAGCGCGGCGGAGCACGTCCGCTCGAGCTGCGGTGATTTTTTCTAGAAAATGGAGACAACATGCTACAATTAGAAACTTGTGGATGAAAGGCTACGACTATTAGGCCATTGGGCTGGTGTTACGGACACAAACAGGAGCGTCCCGAGGATCAGACGTCTCACAGTAGCATTTCCGTTTGGGTTATTCGTGAAACTGCATGACACAGTTTTTCTAACGCCATCAGCGGCACAGCACATGACACGATAGCTTAATGAGCTCAACAGGTTAAGGTCAGTGTAGTAATTTCATAACCAGACAATGAGCTTTCCCTGCTGCTCATACTGAGCTGCACAACTGCAGCACAAGATATGATCCATTGATCGGGCCGCATATTTACATTACAAAGGTGCAGCATCACTAACAGTATCCGTCCCTTCTGATGGATATTCCAATCTGCTCAGTGCATTACAAAGCCTCATTGTTTCACTAATAGTCTGATACAAAAATCGCGGATCCTGCCACGGATCTGCACAAACCAAAAACCCTCAGGAATAAGCATCGCTGTCTGAGAATTATGGCACAGGCTTCAGATTGAATGTTTGGCATAGCCTGTGATACAGCCTACAGCTTCAGTACGAGGCCAAGGGGACTGTGGTCACTGGCAGAGATGTCCGGAAGAATATATGAATCGTGGACTTTTTCAGCGATTGACTCCGACACAAGAAAGTAATCCAAGCGCCAACCTTCAATCCAATGAACAAATCAAAACAGCAAGTGAAATGGTGACCGTGATCTTCAGTTATGTTGGAACAACAAATGAATATACCAATTTTGACATAGTGCATGTGCATGATAGATGTAAGATTGCTCAGAAACCATGCTAAGTGGCACATAATCTCAAGGATGTGAAACAGCACATAAAGTCATAAACGCACAATACCAGGTGGCAATGGCCATATCATACATACCTTTGTTTGTCTTTCCGGGCATTATGCCTGTACCCCCAGTAACTATAGGCAACAACACTAGGATGCTGTTTCCGAAACGTATCAACAAACCCTTTGGACAAAAAATTGGTCTCAAATGATTCTCTTTCCTCGTTTGTGAAGCCTGCACTTTTACGATTTCCCTGGGAAAAAGGTATTAAAAATGGGTTTAAGACCATGTACAAAAGATAGGTGAAGCAGCTAAAGCAAAACTGGTAAGTGGTAACATTTGTAACATATTCCAATCCGATGGAGCGCACCAAGCATATACATACATAGATATGAGCAACAGGGAGTATAGGTTGCTCAAAAAAAACAGCACCATGACAATGCAATTTAAGGTATCTGTTTCTCACAACTTGGGCAATAATTTGCTTCACTCTTCAAGCTTTCTAATTAAACCGGATAAGAACTCTCAGCTCTAACAACAAGGGTCTAAAACCAAGGCTAAATTTCTCTGTAATTCTACTTTATTACAAGGATCATGATGTTTGTAGCATAAAACAAATAGCCAAATATAGGACACAATTAAGTGTAAGACTACAAATTTACAATACATTCAGCATAAAAGAATTTAAACAGATGATTACTCACAGCAGGGTCATGTATATCAATCTCCTGGTGCGCACAATTAAGGTCACCGGTTAGTATGACAGGCTTCGATTTCTCCAATTCCTGCACAATCATAAGAGATGTGTATGGTCATATCAGAACATAGCAGCATGAGATCTAAAAAAATAATTCGTTGTTAGCGGTGCAACGATCATTACTGAAGCCTGTAAATGAAGGAGGTGAATTTGTGTTCGAAAAAATCATGCATACCTGAGTAGGGTTTTATTTTTATTTTATTTTTGGCACAGGACAACAGCTGTGAAGAATGTAAAAGAATACTAGGGTTTAGAACTTTAGATGGTCATTACTTTGGTAAGTAGGAAAACACAAGAATTTGATGGCCATTACTATGAAAAAGTACACTTAGGGTTTTTGAAAATCCCCTTGATTTGAAAGGGAACCTTTCAATGATTGGTAAAGGGCAAAGAAAATTAAAGGAATTGATGATAGACAATAAAGGAAAGAGGATGTGCCCTAATAGACCCAAAATTAATGCATTAAAAATATTTAAAACTGCCATTCTAACTAAATTTGGACATCTTGATACATATTTTATGGGCCTGCCCCTAATTAGAACCTTTCTTTCAATCTTAGTTCTTACTAAGGCTTTGTTATGTGCAAATTTATACAAGGGAGACTCATCATTCAAAAGCGTGTTTGGATGAAGTGATTGCTCTAGAAATTTTTAGGTTTAGTCCAATCTGTGCTAAATCCTATGTATTTGAAATTTTGGATCCAAATCCCCCATATCAAAATAACCTAGAAAAAAATAGAATCAATGCAATGACAAAATGACATGAACAAAATGCACACAAAATTAGTTCTGTACTTCTGTTTCAGTAAAAGCATACTTGATGCTTGACAGAAGAAGAGGAATAGAGGATAAGTAGCAGAGCAAACTACTTCAAAATAATAATCGGAGTAAAATCAGAGACATACTTTCATGTAGTTACCAAGGGATGGATCCCACTCCGTGACCCTGTAAGTCTGCACAGAAATACATGCTCATGAACTTCAGATTGTAACCTCAGATGATTTATACTAGAAAGAAAAATACTAATTATTTACCAATCTTTTTAGGCCATCACCAGAGTTTGGTACATAAGCAGTTAACAGATAGAAGTCATCAAACTCTACAGTCACAACCCTCCCTTCAGTATCATGGTCTGGTATACCAAGCCCATACTTGATCGAGAGTGGTTTGACCTACAGGTAACGCATGACACATGATGAATAGAAAGAAAATATAAAACACAAAAATGTTCACAAAAATCTTGCAGGATGCTAGCATATCCTGTTGATCAAGTTTATGCTTGAGGCTACCATGTAATAAATTGGAGCAGAAGAAAGGTTAACAATGATTAGACCAGGAGCCCAGGACCCAGGATCACAATACAATAAATATATTTGTGTAGTGTTGCAGAAATGTGTATGTTGCGATGGATTTGTGGTCACACAAGAATGGACCGAGTTAGGAACGATGATATACGTGACCGCCTAGGGGTAGCAAAAATTGAAGAAAAGCTTGTCCAACATCGGTTGAGGTGGTTTGTCCATGTCCAAAGGAGACCTTCAGAGGCACCAGTGCATTGTGGAGTCCTAAGCCAAGCTAATAATGTGAGGAGAGATAGAGGTAGACCGAAATTGACATGGGGGGAGGCAATAAAAAGAGATTTGAAAGCTTGGGATATACCTAGAGATCTATGTTTCAATAGGAGTGCTTGGAAAGCAGCTATTGAAGTGCCTGAACCGTGACTAGGGGCTCTTGGTGGGTTTCAACTCTAGCCTACCCCAACTTGCTTGGACTGACAAGCTTTGTTGTTGTTGTGTAGTATTAAATATCAGAAGAAATCAAACAGTGGTTAATCAGGTTGCAATATAGCCCAAGGGAAGAGGAAACTAGCAGTGACTAATCATATATTTTAAATGTTTCTTTCCTTTTTTATTAAAGTATATCTCACAGTGAAGCTTGCTTTAGTGTGAGTGGTGCAAATTTCTTTCTAGCCATGGCTTAGTGTGAGTGGGGTGTGTTGGGAAGGTTTATTCTAGCCACTCCCATTTGTATGACTCATTTTTCTTAATGAAATGACAAGCAGCTCTCCTGCATTGTTCAAGAAAAAAACAGTGAAGCCTGCCTTAGATTCAGAAATGGAAAACCCTGAAATCTCAAAATTGAAGAGACATAGGTGTGATTGTTCCTAGGTGAGGGAGTGCATCATGGCACTTTGCTCCTTCTTTCCATTTCTTTCAGGTTTCTGTGCAGTTGCTTCTAAAGAAATAAAACAGAACAAACCAATAGGTGTTCATAGGTGTTTTATTTCTACTAGTTACATGTACGAGGCATTGGGTAGGTGATGCGTACTCTTGAAATTATTGCAGTGCCAGAATAGCCAAGCTTTGACACACTGCAAGTAAAGAAACTATTTGTGTAGCCATCAAGCAAAGTGTCCTTAATAACTTCAACATCCTTCTCCTGCCCAGAATAAAGCAAATATAGTGAATTTACTATCAGCAAATAATTCAGAAAGGATAGAATGTGCAATATTAGCAAAGTTATCTTATCATTAACATTTTTTAGGATAACTCCAAATGAACTTAGCAAAAATAACTAAGATTATGCCTGCATTTTTGTCTCTTGTAAGCATAGCACATCAAAGTCCTCCCTCTGTGCTAACTGTTGCACAGAGAAGCCTCTTGATTTGAGCAATGCTTTCAATCCATTGACATTCCATGACATAATCTTCAGAGCCCGTGTATCCTTGCTAAGAGGTGGAGGCCTCATAGTCTTAGGATTGTATGGAATCCAGCCGGCTTGTGGTTTCTTATGCACGAGTACAGTCCAAGGCTCTGAATCATCATTAGGAACAGCACCTTGGACTGTGGTAGAGTAACAAACAGTTAGCCAAGGGGAAAGTGATCTTTCAACAGGAGTAAAGATAAGTCAACAAATGTGCGTACCGACAAATGTTTCCTTCTGGACAACAGTCTTACTTAGCTTGACATTAGTCACAGAATTCTCCTCAAGAGTGGTGCTCTTGCTTGACTTTTGTTTTGTTCTACTTCTTTTCTTGCTAGGTGTTTCAGAAATAATCTCAGAACTTGCTAGTTTTTGTTCAACCACAACAGAAGCACCACCTTTTCTTTTCAAAGGTACTTCCGAGGGGCTAACCAGCTCAATGGATGATTTTCCCTCTTCACCTGTGGAAAGAAAACAAGCTTCTGGCTAACATGCTTCACTTAAACACTATTTAATTAAACAAGGAAATATATTATATATGTGTGACTATGGTCTATAAAGGATACATCCATGCCCCTGTATTTTCTGCACCATAAAACCTTGCTATGTCGATAGAGAAGCCATAAGAGCTTGAAGATCTCATGCAAGCTTGAAATATTTGGCTCACTATTTTACGAGCTAACTACATTGTAAGTTTGGGGCAAATCTGACCAAAGTCTTATCTTACTGCTGCAAAGGGCATAATGACTGAAACTAAAGAGTTCTAACACAAAAAACAAGGATTTAATTCAAAGATACTACAAGTCTGAACTAACCCATACCATTTGCTTCCACACCCAGAGAATTCATCAGGGCTGATACTAAATCTTTCTTGGTACCTTTTACAGAAACACCCATCCTCCTTCAAGATTTTAGTGCACAAAGAGTTAAAAGAACACATCAGTTATCACCAATGGACAAGAAAGGAAGAGTGGCAAAGTTTAAACCTCGTGAGCTCCCTGAGCTCCTTGACAGTCATTGATTGGAGCTGGCTAGGGTTGCTCCTCACTCGCTCTATCTCCAAATCACTTTCAGCAGCATCTTCCTAGGATCCAAACAGAAAGATATGGAACAAAACTACAACGGTCGGAGAGCATGAGCACAAGGGGAAACAGACTAACCTTCTCTATGACTGGCTGCTCATCCTTCTTGACCTCACTGTTCTTAGAGGCAGCTCTACGCGAATATGTAGCCCTCATTCTGTCCCTCGTGGTGATGAGATTCACTAGTACAGGTACTCTAGAACTGAAATTCGCACTTCGGAGCCCACAGGTACACCTATTAGAGAAGAAAAGCCAATGTTTAACATCTACTGATGTAGAATTGTGCCATTCCAAGCTAAACGATTCTTGTGACAATGGATCCAGGTATGAGATAACTGTGGACAAACATCCTCTTGAACTGATGGATACTTCAAAGTTGACATAGGGTTTGGGTTTCACATTATGTGCAAATGAGTTTGAGCTGAAGTAATAAGTTCTTCATTATTAAAGAAAAAGCCTTAAGCGCACCCGCGCTTGTGACATATCTTCCCTGAGACCCTGACCATATTTTATTTGACTAAATTACATAATCCACATCAACGACGCTGTTGACAGTTGAAAGCGCATAATAAAAGAAACGGATATTTCCATTCGTGGCCAAACCCTCGATGGGCTCGTCCCCCTATTGAGGATTCCCCTTGATGGCGAAGAATCGAATCCACGCAGTAACGCAGACCAGATGGGATGAACAGACTCGAAGGTAGAAAATGCGCCATAGGAGAGGAGAGCAAGAGAGGGTGGGGGAGAAGATGGGCACCGTACTGGTAGAGGCGGAGGAGGGAGGCGCCGCGCAGCAGCAGCGGCATCGGTCGGCGAGCGAGTGCGCGGAGACGCCGGGACGTGGAGCGGTAAAAGGAGTGTGCTGCGCTCGGCTCGGCGTGAGGTGCCGAAGTGGGCTGTGGGCTGTGGCCTGTGGGCACCCGGGTGGCCGTGCGGGCGACAGCCGGCGAGGGCGACTCTGCGGCGCGTTTTGGCGTGGTAGTACCGCTCTGATGGGCTGCACTCGTATCCCGGCCAGCCTGGCAAGCCCAGCACTGTAGGCCTATTTGGTTGGTAGCCTGACCAACTTACTCCGTACCTAAGCCATGAACATTATTCAGCTCTATAGATCACTAAAAAATACAGGACGTCCCCTAAAAAAAATACAGGACGTCTGAGATTGTTGACTGGCCCATGAGTGGGCCAGAAAGTTTTCTGGTGATCTAATCCAAACAGATTGGTTTAGAACCTCAGACGGTTAGGGTTTGTTTGGGACTCCTCGTAAACTCTGTTGTACAAATCTAGCTGCATTATTGTTTGGTTTCATAAATTAAAATCAAATCAAATCAACCAAAAGTTTTTTCTCTCAAAAAAAACCAGCACCACCAAATTTAACCCAAAGACCAACACCAACCAAATGAACATGCCACCGTGAAGCAGCTTCATAAAAAACTAATACCATGTTTGGATGCAAAGTATTTTTAAAGTATTGGAGAAATACTATGGTTTTACAAAATACTTTGATTTTTAAAAGCTATTGGGTGTTTGGATATAACAAATCTTGTAGTCTCTAGAACCATGGTTTTGTTAAAACAGTAGTCTTTTTTGAGTTTTAGAAACTCCACTCGTGGCCTTTTTTTTTTAAACCACGTTTTTGTGTCTCTTTGGCTTATAAAACCACAGTTTTGTGATATTATAGTTTTCTAAAACCGCATCATCCAAATAGGCCCTAAAGTTTATGAAGCTCAGAACTCCACCTTTCTTTCTAGAGTAAAGTTAAACTAGAGTTCATGGAGCTCACGACTCTATTTTTTTCTGAAGTAGAGTTAAACTAGAGTTTATGGAGCTCATAGCTCCTTTTTTCCCCTAAAGTAGAGTTTATGGAGCTGGACTTGTTTGGCTAAAAATCATTGGAGCAGAGCTTAAAAACATGAAGCAAAGCAGTTCTAGATAGACCATGCTTGGCTCAGAACCTGCAGTTCTAGATAGACCCTGCTTGGCTCATAACCTTTTAGGCCTTGTTCGATTGTTCTAGAAATAAAAGAGATTGAAGGGGATTGGAGAGGATCGAGGGAAATTTTGACTCGCAGAGGATTTAATCCCCCTCGATCCCTCCCAATCCCCATGGTTAACCATGGGATCAAAAGAATATGGCCTTATAGCAGAGCGGTCCTGGATAGGCCCTTAAACTGCTTGGCTTAGTATTCCCAAAATAAAAATTGCTTGGCTTAGAACCAAACGCATGTCTATCTTCCCTTCCGACATTCATCAAGAACTCAAAATACTTCCCTCTTTAAAACTTTGCCTGAAACTCTGTTTCCGTCGATCCGTTCACGACTTCACGTCAATACGTACGGAATACTCCACCGATAAACTCAGCCATGAGCCATCTGCCAAAACTTTTTTCTTGATTCCTTCTTTAAAGGAAGAAAATGCCATAGACTCATAGGCAAAGCAGAGGCACAACTAGACAGCGGAGTCGATGCCGGTGTTCGATGTGTATGGAACATGTGAATCTGCGATAGGTCTCACGGCGACACGGCCTCCGTGGCTGCGTCGTGCAAAGGCCAGCGTAATTCGACAATCACTACACAAACACAAATTTCCTCGAAGAAGTATATGAACAATTACAAGATGGAACCATTATTAAACGGGAAACAACAAATGAGAGTTCGGTTCAGTTCATTGCACTGCCTACTCTACTCTAATGTCGAAAAAAAACTCTCCTCTATACTCTGCTTCTCTGAACAGGAATTCCCATTCGACCGTGCACGAGATCATGGAAGAAGCACGTGCATTTTACAGGAGGAAATGCTGCAGATATCGGAGCCCCTCGTCGGCGCACACGTACCGACACTCGCACATCATTCCGAGCCTCACCTTCTCCACCACCATCTCCTCCCCAGCCAGCTCCACGACCACCTCCGCGTCCAGCTTCGCGCCGCCGCAGCCGGGCGCGGGCAGCCTCGCCGCGACCCCCGCCTCACCTCTGCCACCGAAGGCGACGGCGCCCGCCGCCCTTGCCGCCGGCACCTTGGCGTCCATCATCAGGACCGCCGCCGCGGGTTCCTGGTCCGCCCCGCGGCGCGCCGTCGTCCGCACCGCCGTCCACCTGACGCGCCACTCCCCCGGCCCGATCGCCGCGCTCCGGTCGCTCAGGTCGACCCCGAACAGGAACAGCCCCGCGGAGTTCTTGGCATGGGCGGCCCTGTCCGCGGCGACCAGGAAGGACAGCGTGCTCTCGCCGCCCGCCGTGACGATGTCGACGGCGAAGGAGACGTCCGCGAGGGCGAGGCGCGGGGCCGGGAGCGCGCGGCAGCGGACGGACGCGGAGCGGAACAGCTTGAAGAGGCGTCGGTGCGGTGAGGAGGAGCACCGCCGGTCGTCGTCGCAGTCGGTGTCGGGGAGGAGGCCCAGCGCGGAGGGGAAGTGCTGCACGCAGAGCCGCGCCCAGAGGTAGTCCGCCGCGAAGGCGGCGTGCCACGAGGTGGACACGCAGGAGGCCGCCGCGAGGGACGCGGCGTCGAGGAAGGGCGCGACGAGGGGGAGCGCCTCCCACGGGCGCCGCGCCGGCATTGCTCTCACCTCGCCCTCGCCGTGCATCTCAGATTGGAAGGCTGGCTGAGCTCGTATTCGTAAGTAGCTCGGTGTTCTCGTGGTCTCGTCGCCTTTACGTGATTGATCCGTGCGCGTCACTGTGTTTTATTCGTAAGTAGCGAGAGGCCGAGAACGTACGGACGCCGGAGGACAGGAGGAGTACGGCAAGGGATGCGGGCCATGCGGGGAAGGAACGGGTTGCAACGGGAGAAGCCTGTGCGGGGCACGGGGCGGTGTGCGCGCGGGTGGAGCACACGTGGTCGGGCAGGATCGCGGTGGCGCGGCGTGCGCTTGGCGCGTGGCGCGCGAGGAGATGCCTTCGAACGGAGCGCGCCGAGAGAGCGGTGTACGCTGACAACGTGACAAGTACTCCACGCCGTTTTGCAGCCGAGTGATCATGCACAGCAGCATGTCAGCGTACCTCTATGTCTCCTAATTTATTTTTCTGTTCCTACTCGTGAAAAATATGGGTCACAAATCAGTTCCTGAGAAATCACGAAATTTGTGGAGAAGGCTTTATTATTAGCTCAGAATATTTTCGATACATCAATGGAGCTCTTACACCTTACATTAGTCTCAACATGACCTCATATTGTACAACCATCGGAAGCTAGATCAGCTATGGCTGTTGAGATCTAAGGACTACGTCCAGCACTTCCCTCTTGTGATCTGTTCATTTTCTAGGAACCGTGTAGCCTGCAAGATAATTAATTCAAATTAAAAGAAATACCATGAATAGTCACATATAAAGTTCACAATTTACGCTACTAGTATAGTGCCCGTGCTAACGCTACGGCTTCATTCGAAAACAACCAAACGACGATATATATATGGTTTATGTAAATATGTTGATAATGAAGCGAGTTTCAATGGTAGTCTTTCTTAATTGTAGGCTTGATGAAGTTAACAGTGCACTTCATAGTACTCAATTTATCTGGTTTCTGTCTCTCTAAAAAATAAAATGGCCATGAGTTATATGTCATTTTATGAAGATTACTTCATAAGAGCAGAACTAAGCCGACTAACTATTGTACTATCAACTTCCTTCATTATCAGTCTATCACATAAATCAGTGTATGACTGACCACACAGTAAAGAAAGTCTATCACATAAATCATTATATGATCTAACCACACAGTAAAGAATGTATTTGAAGTCACACCCTGAGACCCTGGCCTTTTGTCGTTAATTCTGCATTCCAAAGAATAAAAAGAAAAGAAGGATAATTAGTAGGATAACATATAGAGTAATAATTCAATAGGATATCAGATTGTACAACAAGCTTGTAGAGACATTGAACTTCCGATCGGTTATGATCTTCCCTTTGACCAAGACATTGCATAATTAATTGCACAACTATGAGACTGACTGCCATTGTACCATAGCCTATATTTTACCTTGCAAAGACCACATAACTTCACACCTTGAAATGTTAACTTATTTATCTTTACTGATTTCACTCTTCTGATTATACTGTCAGAAGAAACTTTTCTTGTAAGAATTAAAGCAAGCACGGAATTGAAAAACCAAATGTGTGCATTAAGATAATTACTCCTGATGTCACCTGAATATGCCAAATACAACAGGCAATCAACGCTGACATGTATTCCTCACAAAAGATCTTCGTTTCAAATCATGGATACTGACCTTGGGCCACAGAGGTTTTTGATACAACGGGGCACTGGTGAAAAATCAACCCAATTGAAGGCACCGGTGAAAAATCAACCCAATTTGACTGAGCCTCCTTGAACCTCAAGAAGGCCTCCAGCTTGTCCATGGCACCCGTCACCGCTATTCACCAGTTCAGGACGTCTTTGTAAACAATATTCTTGGTACTCTTCTTCCCTGTAGGATCTAATTCGTCTTTTGGTTTAGCCAAAATTCTAGTTGTTGATCTTGATACCCCCCTTGATAAACCAACATAAAGCTCAACATTTTCGTTGTTGCCGGTTTCTTTCCTCCCTTTTCCGCACCGCCTCGTCTGGGCATTTGGGCATATATATAGGAAATTAGTAAGCTATCGTGAGAAGTGTTGCATACATCTCGATAATTAAAAACATACCTGTGATGTTGGTGATATCACTTAGCGCATCGTGTGTATCTCTCGGCATAGACATTGTCAACTACCTGCGACGACATTTATCATTTTTGCTGAATGTTTTTTTATGAAACAAAGATTTATGACACTGCTAATGCTACGGGCCACATCGAAGTCCAAAGCTAATTAACT